ATGAGAACAATATTATTATTTTGCTGTTCTCAAAAAATTTTTCATAGTGAACAGTAAAAAATTTATACTGTTCACAAACTTATAATTGTGTTCTCATGAGAACTCTAAGAACACAAATTTCGAACACTGGTTCTACCTACTACATTCCACGACATTTTAATTTTACGCCGTAAAAAATATTCTTACTTTATTTTTGCATTACAGGGTCGGTCAGCACATCGACTGAGGGGTTAAAAATAGCGATCAAACTCTTTGAAAAACTTTCGAATAATTACATTGATCTTTTAAATAATGGTGAAGATTTTAATGTAGTCATTAAAGTGGAAATGATTCAAACATAAAGGAATTTAAGGCACATTCAGCCATTTTAAAATATAGGTCATTATATTTTCGTAATGAATTAGCGAAAGCTGTTAAAGATACGAACTATATTACAAGAATCAGTTTAATACCACAAGTTCCTGTCTCGCAATTTGAAATTATTATTAAGTAAATGAAACTTTTTTTTTTGTTTTTTATATAAAATCATAATACAAGCTTTTTTAACTTTATTTGATAAAATAGGTATATCTATGGTGGTTTTGCTTCGTTAGAAAATCTTAACGGCCAGTTTATTTTTAATCACATTCAACCTGCTGATGAGCTTCATCTGGAAGAATTAGTGGAAAACCTTGAAACTCATTTAATCGAAACAAATGCTCACCACAATAACAAACTTAAAGAGTTACAGGAATGGTGTAATGATATTTTAGCAAAATACCCAAATCTCGTTTTCGATTCTGAGGATTTAACTTCTCTTAAAGAACACGCATTAATTTCACTTATTAAACGTGACGATTTGGAAGAAATAAGAGTTTGTAATCATGTCATTGAATGGAGAATTGCGCAAAACCCAACCTTACATTCAGATATTGAAAATTGGTCCCGTGAAAATTTTATGACTTTAAAGACTACATTACAAAATTGTTTACCTCTTATCCGTTACTTTCAAATCTCAGATGAAGACATTGCAAAGAATATATTACTGCATTCGTTAATTCTTGAAAAAAATCTTTGGAAATATCTGGTAAGCAAGCATATGTCTCCTAATCATCAAATTTCGTCAACGATCTTATCACCTCGTATTATTTCTGTGCCAGTTTTACCAAACAGGTCAACAGAAACATTTTTAACTGTCATTAATGAAGAACATGCAGCAGAAATTGCATCATGGATTGATAAAAAGGCTAATCTGTATAATATTACAGATAACCCTTACGAATTTAAGTTACTTCCTCGTGGAAACAGGGATGGTATTACTCATGAGGCATTTTGGAATTTATGTAATTTACAAGCAAATACATTTACCGTTGTGAATATTAAAAGTCCTAATGATACTATTGAAAAAATAATTGGTGGATATAGTCCAATTGCATGGGTTAATTCTGTTACTGGTGGTTACGCTAGTTGCAAAGATGGCTTTATTTTCTTATTGAAAAATGGAACAGTTCAAAATTCTATTTTAAGTCGTGTACAAAATGAACAATGCGCATTCTATTTTTATACTTATCATGGTGTATGCTTTGGCGGTCATGATCTTCGTTTGTTTTATCTAGGTGATAAAGTAAATGCTTGTTATAGTTTAAAAAGTCTTTAGTTTTCTAGGCACTTAAATTTGGTCACGAACCTAAACAGTCAAGAAAAAGAAGCGATCCAGATTGCCTAACGGTTTGCTGTATTGCAATTTTAAAAAGTTTAATTGTTAGCTTATTTGTAATCATAATGAACTTTTTGGTAAACTTTTGCTAATACTCTATGCATACATTATTTATTGCATACTTAACAAGAAATTTAATAGTTATTAAAATAAATATCCGAAATTTAATTATAAAATTATGCATGAAAGATATTTCTTGTGTAACTTTTTAATAATTATATAAGATGAGAATAATATGTATTCCAATAATGAATTATAATTTTTCAAAATATAATATCTTTCTAAATGCAACTTCAAATATTGACTCAAATCTATTAATCTCTATAAATATAATCTTTATTTGCTCTTTAAATGTATATTGTTAAAGACTAATCTTAATGTTTCTATTTAAAGAGCTTTGACTATAATTAGAGGTTAAATAATATGTTCATGGCAGGTTTAGATATAGTGGCTAGTAATTAATTTTTTAAAAAAACGTTCAAAAATAATAATTAAAATTGTATATACTAAATATAAATAAGTTGTATACAGTCAGCTCTACTAAGTGCAATTCATTAAAGCCGGACTTTTAGCAACATACAGTTTGAGAACAATTAAGTAAAATTGCATTTATACTGTGGAGACATAACATATGAAAACATATACTTAGGCCAGAGAGGTTGCAATTAAAGATGTACAAAATGATTTGAATAATACAATACATAAAATTATACTGTATTAATATAGTGTAATATGTAAATACAAATCATCAGAAATCTTAAAAAGTAAATTGTATAAATATAGGGAACATCCAAAGAGAAAACAATTCATATAATTTAAATATTTATTAAGGGCAGGGCCACTTTTGTTTGGGTTAGGTTTATTCATATAGATAAAATTTTATCCCTGATATTTTTTTATTAATATCTTCTAGATTAGACCGCTCATTTTTGTTTTTTCCACGTTTTGCTTCATTGCGTTTATATAATTTGCTTGGTTTATTGCTATGTGATTTTCTCCAGTTTTTAGACAACCTCTAAATATAGATCGATTGCCTGCACTACCGCTACTGCATATGCCGCCTGTGAAATTAGTGCCTGAATTAATTCAGGTAAGTGCCCGAAATAGCAACAATGGATTAGACACGTATAAATACAATCATTTGTATTACTGTATTACAAAACTACTAAAAAATGGCGATCAAACACTTTGAAAAACTTTCGAATAATTACATTGATCTTTTAGAGAGCGGAGAAGATTTTAATGTAATCATTAAAGTGGGAAATGATCCAAACATAAAGGAATTTAAAGCACATTCAACCATTTTAAAATATAGGTCATTGTATTTTCGTAATGAATTAGCAAAAGCTGTTAAAGATACGAAAAATATTACGATAATCAATTTAGCACCACAAGTTCCCATCACTCAATTTGAAATTATTATCAAGTAAATGACACTTTTTATTTTATTTTTATAAAAAATTATCAAACAAGTTTTTAACTTTATTTGATAATAGGTATATTTATGGTGGCTTTATTTCGTTAGAAAATCTTGACGGCGAATCTATTTTTAATCTTACTGAAGCTGCTAATGAGCTTCTTTTAGAAGAATTGGTGGAAAGCCTTGAGACTCATTTAATTGAAACAAATGCTCACTGGTTACGTTCTCATTTTGCACGTATTTATAAGATTTGCACTCAGAATAACAAACTTAAAGAGTTACAGAAATGGTGCAATAATATTGTAGTGAAATACCCAAATCTTGTTTTCGATTCTGAGGAATTCACTTCTGTTAAAGAACACGAATTGATTTCACTTATTAAACGTGACGATTTGCAGATGGAAGAAATAAAAGTTTGGAATCATGTCATCGATTGGGGAATTGCGCAAAACCCAACCTTACCTTCAGATATTGAAAATTGGTCCTGTGAAAATTTTATGACTTTAAAGACTACTCTACAAAATTGTTTACCTCTTATCCGTTACTTTCAAATTTCTGGTGAAGACATTGCAAAAAATATATTACCGTATTCGTTAATTCTTGAAAAAAATCTTTGGAAAGATCTGGCAAGTAAATATATGTCTCCAAATCATCAAATTTCGTCAACAATTTTGCCACCTCGTATTATTTCTGTGCCAATTTTACCAAACAGATCAACTGAACCATTTTCAACTGTCATTAATGAAGAACATGCAGCAGAAATTGCATCATGGATTGATAAAAAGGCTAATTTGTATAATATTACAGATAACCCTTACGAATTTAAGTTACTTCTTCGTGGAAGCAGGGATGGTTTTACTCATGAAGCATTTTGGAAATTATGTAATTTACAAGCGAATACAGTTACCCTTGTGAATGTTAAAAATCTTAATGATAATATTGAAAAAATAATTGGTGGATATAATCCAATTGCATGGAATAATTCTGTTTGTAGGTTTGTTAATTGCCAAGAGAGCTTTATTTTCTCATTGAAAAATGAAGCAGTTCAATATTCTGTATTAAGTCTTGTTCAAAATCAAAATTTGGCATTTTATTTTAATAATGATCGTGGTGTATGCTTCGGTGGTTGTGATCTTCGTATGTTTTGTGACATTGATAAACAATATGTTAATAATCAAAGTAATGTATGTTGTTGTATTCGACAAGCTTATGAAAACTTATTTGATAAAACTCAATATTTTTTGGTAAATGAATATGAAGTCTTTCAAGTCAATAAGAAATCTAATTAATGCTAGTTTGTTTAGAAATTTTTAACCATGTGATTATAGATTACTTAAACATTTTAATAGTTTAGATTTGTTTACGGCCATGTTATATAGTTTAAAAAAAATTAAATTTTGGGCACTTAAATTTGGTTGCGAAATCTAAATAATTTCAATACAAAGAAAACTATTCATCAAAGCAGATTGCCTATCACATTTACGGCTTGCTGTATTGTAATTTTTAAAAGTTTTAATTGATAGCTTATTTGTAATCATAATAAACTTTTTTGGTAAACTCTTGCTAATACGCTGTGTATACATTATATTGTGCATACTTAATAAGAAATAGAATAATTATTAAAATAACTATCCAGAGTTTTATTATAAAATTATGATTTAATATACATGAAAGATTATTTGTTTATATGATTTTTTTAATAATTATGTAAGATGAGAATAATATGCATTCCAATGAGGAGGTGTAGCATCTACCATACCATGTTTATTACATAATTCACTCTTTAAAAGTATCCACATAGTTCTAAGTTGTTTTAATTGATCTTCATTAGTATCCATTGGATCAATTGGGTACCATTTTGGATAACATGTTTGAATATAATTTCCAAATGAATGACCATGAAATTCATCACATGTATCACTTTGATATACTGAATCAGTACATATATTCAAGCTTGCTTCATTTGACTTATTTTTTACTCCATTAAAACTAACCATTAAATGTATTGATGCTTTATGAGGTATATCAGAATCATGATCCGCCAATTCACATTTTGATCTGTAAAAATTTTCGAATATATAATATTAATAAATTTAAAGTTTCATATATTTTTTGATTATCTATTTTTTTGAAACTTTACTTACCCACATAATGGACACCGTTCTTGACATCCAATAACTCTATTACAATATAATGAACGATAATTTTCAACTTTGATTATCATTGATGTCTTACAATGATTTTTAAGTTTATTTTTCCACTTATTTTCAAATTCTGAAAACACTTTGTCAATCTTTTCTTCTAGGCATGCCAAAAATCTTGAAGGATATTTGACAACACACTTTAAAATAGTGTCAGTACCTTGAGGTTTATCTTTCATTAGAATTTCCAAAAGTGTTCCCTTTGATGAGCGAAGAATTTGTTCAATATTAGGGCATATATAAGAAGATTCATGCATAGGTCGAGAAGAATAATATTGTTTTGATTTTGAAATTATTTCCTTGACTTCATTCGGAATAGTATTAATAATATTCTCTTCAATTTCTTCAAGCTTTTCACCTATTTTAATATCTTTAATAATTCTAATCTCTTCTTCAAATATTTTTTTCATAAATTTAATTGGATTTTCAATATAATTACGACAATTTTCTACACTAAGAGATCCAAAACTTCGTTCATATGCGATTCTTGTAATATTATAATTATCACTATTAAAATATTTATCCATAAGTTCCGAAACAAAATTATAGGGATTATTTAACTGTTTTTCAAAAGATTGAAAAATGAGTTCAAAAAAGTTGCTTGATAAATATTCATAATATGTATCACTTTTTAATTCAACAAAGAACTTCCACAAATTTTTTCTATATTCATCAAGTTCTTTCTGTTGTATATCTTTCCATTTTTTAGTATTTGCGTCCAGCCTTTTAAAAACTTTAAGTCGTAAATATTGCTAAAATAAAATACAACATTATATTAATTTAATATTTAAATGAAATGAAAAAATTTTATTTTTAAATAAATGAAAATTTTTATTACCTCTATTGATTTAAACCCATCTATTTTAACAACCAAATTATTCTGAGAACTATTTAATTCATTCTGTAAAGTAATAAAAATATTATCACATAATCTCTGGATCCATTCTAATGCTTGATCGAATTCAATCATTAACGTATTCTCATTTTGGATTTCATTAACAATTTGTTTACAAGTTTTCTTAATAGATGTCTTAATTGTTCTGATAGCAGATTGTTTTGAAATGCCTTTTTTAGCATTATTAATATACCCAGCTATCCCGCTTGAATTTGTTTCTACGACGAATTTAAAATCAAAACTTTTTAAGAATTCTGTATTCTTTAAAAACTTTGATTGTACTAGAGTTGCTGGTTTCTCGAGTTTAGACCAAAAATTTCTATCAAATTTATCCTTTGTTTTATCATCGGAACCGACTAAACTTATTCCATCTGTAATAGCTTTATTGAAACATGTAACTACCTGCTCCTCTAATGCCTTTGTCTCTAATGACATACTATGAATAAAATTATTCTTATCTGCTTCTATATACTCCCATTCAGTATTAAAATAATGATCACATTCTAACAAGTTCTTTTTAACTTTTCCTGGAGTTTTTTCTTTAAGTACTTGTTTGATATTTTCACTGATCTTTGCTTTTGCAGATTCGATAAGCCATGAATCCTTGAACTTTCGACGTTTTATTGTATAAGTTGCTTGAAGTTTACGTTTCTCTGATGCAAATGCTGAGTGAATATAAGTCATTCCTTTTTCAATTAATGTAGGATCATACTCATCCGGTGCATTTTCAAGGAAATTAGAAATCGTCTGTTGACATAATGTATTCGTTACTTTAGTAAGAGCTTCTTCAAATTTAATATCTTGATCTTTAGACCATTGATCAGATTCGATTTCATCTATTAAGTCTGAAATTTCTTCTTTATAAATTTTTATAAATGATTCGTCATTAACGCTAACTAACTTTCGTATTGAATTCCACTGATGTATCATTTTGAAATTTTTGTAATGAAGGAATTTTCCACGTGCATCAATTTCTTTCCAAATAGTTTGTATATATGTAATGAATTCTTTATTAATTAAATAAAATTAATGTTAGATAAATTATTTATTGTTTAAAATTATCTTAGATTTTTAATCAACAAAATATTCCTTACCGTCAATGTTTTTATATTCATGAAATTCATTCTCATTTGAGGACAATGTAGGTGCAAGTAACTCTTCTCTAAGCTTGGACACCTTTGATGGAAATGTTTCCTAAATATTCATAATTTTATATTATTAATTCTGACATAAATATAAGATAACATAATTTCATACACTATATATATAGTGAAAGGTTCATACCGTAGGATAATAGAAATTTTCATGGTCACTTTGATCAATTTGTTGGGTATTAGGGTAAAACTCATCAAAAGTGCAAGAAAAAGCATTTTCTAATAAATGAATGTTTTTTTCTTCCAACATCATAAGATTTTCCATGTTGTAAGCACATCCTGGAATTTCATTAAACATCTTTTTCAGGCCTTCACGAATATTATTAAATGCATATTGTTGAGCGTTTCTAGTGTCCACCTCCATCATATCGCGTAATACAAAATTGATTCTTGGCTTAAAATTTCGTTTTATTAAAGTATCCAAATGATAAGAAGAAATTTTAAGAATATCAGAAATGTCTTCAGTAATATCTTTAACATTGAGAATCAAGATTTGAGAACACAAAGTAGCTAATAATGTAATTTTTTTATCAAAATCATTACGTTGAGAGATTAATCTCTCAGTTATAGAATCAATTCCTTCAAAATCTAATATCAAAAAATCTGTTTCTTTTCCATTATGGATTGTATGCCGATATGACATATATACACCTGTTATACAATATTGCAATAATTATAAATTATAATATTTTATAAACAAGGAAATAATAGAAAAATATCATCTGAACTTACCTTTAGTACTGTTAATAAAATACGCAATAAATTTTAATATACTGTAAATATATAGGCATGTAAAGCAAATAATAATTAGTAAAGCTAACTATTACATACCGTCTTCCATTTGAAGTTTGAAATAGGTAATTTAATAACGTAGATTTACCAGAGTTTTCAGGTCCAACTATCGAAAAAAACAATCAATGGTCGTTTATTATTAAATGTTATTTGATTAAAAATATCTAAAAGAAATTCGGAATTCAATGTTCTAAACGAAACACTATCTAGAATTTGAATTGCTTCGCCCTCACATATCCAACTTTTATATGCTGTTTCGAGTTGACTAAAATAATCGACAATGTAGTAATGTTAAAATTATGTTATATAAATTTAAGAATATAGAAATTACTTACGTATTATCAATATTGTATAATGATTTTAAAGCTGTTGAATATCTTTTCTTTATCTGAGATAAAACAATAAATTCTTTCCAAAAATCATGAATAGTTATATTTCTATCTTCTATTTGCTGCTTTATTTCACTTTTTTGATCATTATCTTGGTCGTTTTGATTTAGTTCATTATATTTCAAATCAAGTTCATTTAAATGTGTTTTAAAGAAAGTATCAACTTGACGGGCAAATTCACGCATATAAGTTATGCTATTCTTTTTAACAATTTGAGCAAAATTTTTAAGAACTGGTATTGGATCAGAACCACAAAGATTTTTTTGCAATTCTTGAAGCTTTTTTATTTCTTCATTAATCTCGTCTTCCGTCATATAAGTAGCAGAATCTTCTAAATTCTTTGATCGAATTTTGTCATTAAGTGCATCTATCTCGTTAGAGAAATATGAAGCTTTAAAAATATCTGCACGGCTATTAAAAGCTGTAGCTTCCATCAACGTGGAGAATGAAACTTCCGAATCATAATTTTTATTAAACAAGTTACGAAAAGCAGTTGTCGACAAATAAAGATCTGGCGTGATTAAGAGTTTCTGAATTGAATATTCTTTGAATTCTTCAAAAAAAAATGATTCTTTTTCTTCAGTAATAGTCTCAACTCGAATTTGATCATGAAAAAGTTGCTTTATCAATATATCTAACACCCTTTGTTTGCGTTTTTTTGATTATATTATCTTCCTTATTTACTCCCCAAAAAAGAACTGAAATAGTTCTAGAGCACGTGCCATGTCTTTCAACAGAAATGTTATTTATAACTGCTTTAAATTCGTCATTTGGTTCAATTATATTAAAATCACTATCAAAAGCGTGAATAACAACATAAAATGCTGCCTTTGATAATTCATTAACTACATTTTGAAAAATTGGGGAATTTGTTTGATCATAATATATTTCTGAAATAGCTAAAGGAGGTCGATCATTGTCTTCAGAAGCAGCATGAAAGGAGATGTCAATAGAGCCAGGATGGCAAAGACCTAAACGATCTTCACGATTATTTGAATAACACTTATAAATTTGTTTTGTAAATGGCGATTTCATTTTGGTGTTTCCTTGGTTCACAGATAAGAAAAGATGGTATTTTCCAATATCTATTATATCATGCATCGCGTCTAGTACTCTAAGACCTTTTTCAAAATTTACCATGTCATTCGGTAGAAAAATTGGAATAGGAATATTGGCATAAATTACAGCATTAAGTAATTTTGGAAGAGAATTTATCGAAATTTTATCAAGGAAGGCTATAAAAAAATCTCTGCCAGTACATTTTCTAAATCGTTGGAGAATTCCTTGTGGATCTTTGAGTTTGTCATTTTCGTCAATGAAATCATTTACATGATTAGCAAATCTAGTTAATGGAATTGTCCTATTAATATAATCAACTAGATATGGAAATAAGTTGCGAAAAATTCCTCTTGGATTCGATTCGCACAAAGAAGGCTTAATAAGCGAAGTAAATAAGTCAATAGTTAGTTCTTCTGTCACAAAGCTTGTGGGATCAAATTCAATTGGTCCTAAGCCAAACGAAAGTTCAAAGAAATCCGAAAGGCCAAGCTCGGAATTTCTCAAAATCTCCATAACTAAAAAGTAATTTCTTTAACAATGTGTGAGTGTTTTTTTTTTAATAAACCACTTTTAAATATTTATGCTTATTTGTATATTTGTTATATAAAATCTTGTGATAAATTTATATAATTCTGTACATACACATTAAAGTTTCTGTGTAAATTTCAACCAGTATGTTTGTAAATGAATTAAACTTGTGATACATTTTTAACGCTGAAGTTTCTTTTTCGAACAAACAACTATTATTATTGGATATTGACTTTAATTAAATTACTTATTTGGGTCAATTCTAAATCTTGTAAACAAAATTAATTTGCAACACAATGTATTCACACGTGTTACACACTAACATTTTTTGATCAGTTTTTCCATGTAGTGTAATGATTGGATACATGTGTTTACTAGGTTATATCAACTTTTACCGAGTATGGATTGGATTATTACCTTTTTTATAAATTTACAGAAAAAAATTTCCTTCAATTCCAAGAAAAGAAAATTCCATTCAACCTTTCTCATAAGAATACTAGTACGCGTGAACGTACGTACGTATGTAACCGGTCACATTGCTAACGGTTTTAAAAAGTTTACTCAGTATATAATCCAAATATTTTAAACAATGTTACAATTAGTCTCATGTATAAATGTTTCGATTTACATATCAATTATCCTTTACACACATACTGTAGTACTTTTACGCAATCTCTTTCAATTAAAAATTCAATCTTAAGGATTATCAACAATAGATATAAAAGAATATACAATATAAGTATATAATTTAGTTATATGGCAGCTTACTATGATGGTCTTGTTAAAAGCTCGAGTTATTTGACAGCTTACCTAATCTCTGCCAAAATCCAAGTTATTTGCAGGCACAAATTGTCGTATAACACCAATATTGTATGAATATTACGCAACCAATAATCACATATATATGTAATCTTAAATTACGTATTTCGCATACACATAAGTATGATCGGTACTACGCATAAGTATATCGGTGAAACAGTTTAATGATCGGTGTGATAGCTTTACTACAGTATACACGTGAGTATGATAATTAATTGTAATCCTACACAACCACACTCGCTCCTCATACTATACTACTTTAGGTTATAATTGGTGGTAAAATTAATTTTACAAATTAATGCGGTTACGGCACATGCCGTATTTTTTGCCGTAATTGCCGTGAGCCGCAAAGCCGTAATGCTGTAATGCCGTAATACCGTAAAGCTGTAATGCAAAAACACAATAATACCGTAATGCTGTAAAGCTGTAATGCAGAAACACAATAATGTCGTAATGCCGTAAAGCTATAATGCAGAAACACAATAATGTCGTTTGTTGAAATGCTGCACTGCATTATGTACTTTTCTTTAAATAATATACTGTTGTTATTTATTTTTTCGAATTTGATTCTGTAGACTCCGTTGATTTAGACATTAATGACTATAAAAAAAAGGGTCTGTCAGGTCTAGATTTTGATTTGACTTAAACGATTATTGTGATTTATTTTTATGGCCAATTAGGCTATTCTATGCTTTAGCGAGCTAATTGATCAGATATGACATCATTGTCAGATTACAATAACAGTATGTTAATGATGACACCGCGCAGGATATAATATATAATACGGGCAATGTCATAAATAGTGTTTAAAATTACCTTGCGCATTTAAATGAGAAGCTTGCGCAAAAAATGACGTGCAAGAAAATTATAAAATTTTATTGCACAAAAATTTAGTCTAAATATAAAATTGGATAGGAAAAATAGTCTGAAGAGTTCCGAAAGAAATGAATAAACATAAAAACGAGCAATGTTATGCTTAAATTTTGCGAATATTTTGAAAAATTTACCGAAAGATAAGATATATTTGGCATAGTAATTTTACAACGTTAGCATCATTTAGAGATAATAAATATGTGCCTATAAAATAAATTTTATATGCACATGTGTACAACTAATGGTTGGTTTTTGCAATCGAAACTTATGACATAGCTGCATTTGTGCATGTAGGTTTCGATCTGAATTTTAAACACTGGTCATAAATCAGGCCAGGTTCCGACATTTCCATAAGAATCCGAAATATGGAAAAGCCTATCCCTTAAATCACGTGCGGGATTTTTGGAAAAACTGCCAATTATCCATCACTACAGTATGTATAGATTAACTTATATAAATGTGGTATAAATATTTATGTTTGCTCTAACAAGTCTTTATAAACACACTTTTTAATTGAAGAATTTGTTGTAGAACAGTTAACGACAAATATGTGTAGATAAACAGTTAAGAATGGGTTTACTAATTTCTCCAAAACTTCACAATCGGTGTACTATAAATTGATTAATAGCACAGATACTCCGATATGTGAATAACTAGTAGAATCAATTAGATGTGGTGAGGAAAATTAGTAAACTCGTTAAGAATCATATTAATTACTCATGAAAACTTTCTATTTTTCACTTAAGGTATAACAGCTGTAATTACTAGTAGTATCAGCTTTCGCAATCATCAAGCAATGCCATAGAAATAAAGAGCCAAACACTTTTTTCCAATTCTTTTAACATTATTTTAGTTTATTGAATGGAATCCATTATCATATGCGAAGGCTCTAAATTGAAATGCTTTCGTGCAATCACCAGTATCCCTATTTATACTTGTCATTTTGCTGCTCAACATTATAAACATCTTATTCATCTTGTCATATTCATTATAATGTCACATTTCCGTTGTCAGCTCCGAAATCGGCGAGTCTGTCGCTCGATGAAAGTTAGCTTCGTGTAACAAAAGGTTTGGTTATGTTGCATCGAAAGAGTCGTGTTAGATTTGGACGAGTGGTTAATAAAAAAAGGAATGTATGTAGTTGATCTGGGTATCTTTATATGACTTAAGTACTTTATTATTTAGGTAAACGGGTCATGATGTTCCCAAAGGGCCAAAAGGCCTTTATTTATAATGAAGATTTTATCTACGAAAGCTGTCTATAACCCCAAAAATGTCCTTATTGACAGAAACGGCCTTATTGCCAAAATCACTAATAATCCCAAAATCGCCGTTTCTGCCATT